TTGTAATTGCGCTCCCAAACATGAGAGTGTCGACATCTTCGCTCAAGACGGCGTCGACTATGCCTTCTCGCTGTAACAAGGCGCATTCCGCCTCGGCCTCTCCTGGCGCAAGGTGTATAGGGAAGCCGAACTGTTTCAGAAGCTGCTTGGCCAAAAATTCGGGGATGGAAGCGACATTGGGACCGGTGCGCTTGTTGCGCTTGAAGGGTGGCTTGTTGGGGCCGTCGAAGACGAAGATGGGATGGATGGACAGGTTGATCAGGCGAAGGAGGCGGTAGTAGAAGGTGCGCAACGCCGGATTCGTGCCACCTGACGACTGTCAACTCGATTCTCAAGAGCGAGAGCCTTGCAGGAAGACGTGTGCATCTTTACCTTTGCTTGCTTGTATCTGGAAGAGCCAGATGGATGTGTCTATGGCGATGCGCAGTGGCCGGCCCGTCTCCTCAAACTTCTCGAGGGCGAGCTTGGAGAGAGCGACGCGCCTCCCAGGCCCAATCTCCTTGTAGATGCTACGCGCATTAGCACAGGATATCGAAATTGCGAAAAATACTCACCCATGAATGCCCATGGCGACTCCAGTGCTGCTCCAACAAAAGTGTCCCGCGGCCTTGACGTTATGTCCCAAGCTAGTTGGCAGGGATTAGATTGTTGCTATGGCGACGACGCGCGACAACCCCCCAGGCTGCGAGTTTACTATGCAATGTACAGAACACCAACTCACGGACGCTGTCGCAAAAATTCACTGCCCACAAAACTACTTAAGTACCTAGGTACTCAACCATGGCACCACGAGGCCGAAGTGCGGTTGCTAGCGACATGGGCGACCATAGTTATGAGTCCAGCCCAGATCCATTGGCTTCCTCTTTCCGTGCCAACAACAACACCAACCCCCGGGCATCGCGCAAATCAACACACAGAGCACCATTTGCTGCGACATCACCAAGCAAGCAAAACCGCCGGTCGAGTGTATCCGAATTCGAATTCTCGTCGCCTTCCAAATCGCTCATCATGGACACCCCTCGAAAGGGTGGGGCAAGTCCCTGGCGCATCAAAGTCACCGTCGAGGCTGAGCCAGGACCTGATGAGGAGAATGAACCATCGCCGAGCATCAAGCGCGTCACCCGGACCAAGACTACGACCGTTCCCTTGAAGGATCCCGACGCGTCTTCTCCCGTCAAGCGACCACGCGGCAGACCCAGGAAATCAGACATTGGTGTAGCCACAAAGCCCAAGCGAGTTGGAACACCAGTGAAGAGAGCGGCAAGATCAAGATCTAGGGATGCAGATGCACGAGCTACGGATTCAAATGCAGCAGACGTCGACACGGATGTGCCACCAAAGAAGAAGCGGGGACGCCCGAGGAAGAGCATCCAACCACTCCAGGTAGACGAGGAGCCGCGTATCGTTCCAGAGCCGGCAGCTCGGGATGGGACACCAGATGCGACCCATATATTTGCACACACTCAACACGCAAGGTCGATGGAAGAGCCGCACGTAATCACTCCGATCGCTTCAACCACAATCGCAGTACGCTCCAACACAACATCACCTTTCGGAGAGAGGAGCAACCGGAGGGTCGCCGTTGAGCAAGGACCATCCTCTAGGAATACCTCACAGCAAACCGAACTTGGGAAGAGCCTCCGCGCGCGCAAAGGTACCCCTCATGCGAAGAAGGTCGCAATCATGGTACCCACGGATGATGAGTCAGATGAACACCCCGGTGTTCTCACCCCTTCTAGCGAAAACGATGAGGTGGAGTCGGGCCAGACGACGAGGACAGTCGAAGAGGACAACGGTTATGTTGTAGCCGGCGAAACCGACGCTGAAATGGTATATGCGCCTGCATCTGAGAATGATGATGAAGAGGACCAAGACATGACGAACTATGCCTTTGATGAAGGCGTAACAAGAATGCCAGACGATACCACCATTGTCGATAGCGAAAACTTCAGCATGATATCAGTCGACTCTTTACACAGTATTGGGATCCGCGGCACTCCACAGCAGCCTGAAGTCATGCCAAAGTCCGGTTTACCATCGATTGCATCAACGCTTCAGCAGACTTACTTGACGGAAGATCAAACGATGCCGAGGGCGAATGTTCCTCAACTCAACGTGGTCCCTCCTATCTCATCACTACGATACAAGACCCCTGTCAATGACCTTGAAGTCCCACCTATCCCTCCAGTTATCGAACCATTTCAAGTACCTGTTCCAAAGACAGGGACTCCAAAATTGGGCCGGGCGGTAACAGCTGGTGTTGCTCTTCAAGGCCTCCTTGATCCGACTCGCATCACCCCTGAACCGTCACAGAAAGTGTTGGATGAGAGGCGTGATCGACTGGATGACCTTTTTCGAGGGTTTAGCGAAGGGACACGAAAAGAGTTGCAGGCAGGTCTTCGACTTGGCGAGCAATTAGCTGAGGGCAACGGGAAAGACCAGGCGACATCTACTGCATCGTCCGACCAAACCAAAGCACAGCCCCAAAAAGCTGCGAAGGAAGGTGTGTACAGAACGCAACGCAAATACCGCCAGCCACGCCTTCTGACGCCTGAGGATCAAGATGATTTCGTTATTACTGCAATGGAACAGCCTCTAGTCTCGAATGATGTTCAGTATCTAACACTGGACACCGAAGGCATGGCAAAGACTCTGTTAAGTCCTGCTGGAAGCGAGGATGAGATGAGCTGGCGAGTCGATACTCCTCCAGTCACAAAGAGCACTGATATGCCTATGGAAGGTCTTTCCCGGGCTGTCCCAACCCCGACAAGCAATTCTCAGGAGCAGATTGATTACTCGGACATCTGGCAGGAAGAAGCTAGTCGCTCATCAGAGTTGCACGACATCGAAGAAGCACCACTGGGAAAAGAGTCGCAAAAACACGATCTCTTCGCTGGCGATGGTCCAGTCAAGCCAACCCGAGGGAAGCTTCCTAGGACATGGCGTCGCAAGGGTGCAAACAATTTCCACTACAGCGACGAAGCAGAGTCTCCTGAGCAATCATCGTCTAAAACCACGGACCCTGCTCAAGTGATCACTCCGGTTCTCAATCACGTTGAGCAGGTTGAAGTTGTAGCCAATGGAGAGCAACAGATTGAAGAAGAAGAGGACGCTAGCGACGCAAGTGAAGATACTGGCATGTTTTTTCACTCAAATATGCCGAATCTGTTCAACAGGCAACGCTTCACTGAGCACAGACAGCAGAGAGCAAATCAAGTGAATCTCTCGGTTCTACTGAACGAGGGCGAAAGCTTGGCTCCAGAATCATCTCCACCGGTCGCTTCGAGGAAGCCTAGTCCTCCCACGCAAACAAACCCATTCTTGGATACTCCGCCAAAAATGGCCGCTCAACCAAGCTCACCAAAGAAAAGCAGTCCACTGCGCCAGGAACTTCGCGGTTCTGACATTTCATCAAGTTCGCCTCGACGCTTTGCGGATGAGTCCACACTGCCAATTGTACAGAGCTCGCCTTTCCATACCTACGTAGATGGTGTATCAGAAACCTCAGACCAACGCCAATTCCGGGTAGAAATGGAAGGATCAACTGCATCGAGCATCCGACAAGTACGACATGAGGCAAATGAGTACCTGAATGCGTACGAGCAACAAGAACGGAGCCTTGAAGAAATTGAAGAGGTGACTGAGCCAAGCCATACATGGCAGCACCAAAGCAGCCACATGGCATCAAGTCCACCACAGATGAAGAAGGCCTTCGCGCAGAGTATGTTGTCTCCCACCCGCAAGTCTAGGCCACTATTCAGCAACCATCAAGACCACGAGGCATCACCATCTCCTCGGCCTGTGGAGGTGGCAGATGTGACAGAGAGCGACGAGGAGAGCGACGATACATACGAAGAGGAAGAGAGTGAGTACGTGTCCGAAGAGTACGAGACAGATGATGCATCCGAAGAGGAAGATAGTCTCAGTGGTTCGGAGCTTTCTCTCCAAGCGGACGACGGCCCCATGCCTACAAATACTCCACGACCGCATCCGATTCTTGCCAAGTGTTCGCCTCTGCCTAAGATCGGACCCTGGACGCAGACACACTACCTGACTCTCCTCGATCTCTATTTCGCACACCTGGAGCACCCCCAGCTCTTCTCACGCACCATCGCTCCCAACTCGCGACTGTCACAAACCAACCACAACCTGCTTCACGACTTCCTCATCAATAACCCAGCGCCCTACGTCGGTTGCAGATTCTCAATCTGGGGCTACAGCATGATCATGACCGAGGAGTTGGTCACCATATGCGCAGTCTACATGAAGTTGTTGAGCCTCGCCGACATGGAAGCTTACGAAGCCCTCACTGGAAAGCCCATTGACATTGGCGGCATTGGTGCAGGTACATACGGCCACACTTTCGTTGGCGACAATGTCATCGTGCGATTGGCTTCCATAGTCATGGGTCAGGATATACGCAGGGATATGGCGAAGGGGATCGAGATTGTTCGGAAGGGCAGCATCAAGGTCCAGTGGCCGAATAAGAAGGTTGAAGGCAATGAAACATGATCGGAGTCGAGGATTGACGACGGAGTGGCCGCAGTAAGAACTTGAAGGGGTTTCACGGTTCACGATTGATGATAGACTGGCGTTTTTTTGTTTAACGAGCTCGGAAGGGAGCATTGTTCTGGATAGCAGTGTGTTTTTTACTTGTCTGGAGTTGGGGAAATAATGGGTTGGGCAGTACGATACCTCAATGACACGACTTGCACTCTATCATCGTACACTATGTGATGATTCTAATGTTGTTTGTGAACCATGAACCCGCTTGTGAGCGCTCAAGCTGTTTGCACGGGGCGCTCTCCACCCTCTGACTCCAAGTAGTCGTGCCTTCCTTCCCTCCGCGTCTGCCTGTAGATCCGTGCGCTCTCTGACTCCACTGTTACTCACCTCTATACTCGGCTCCCTCAGGATATCTACAGCCCATTGCACATCTCGCTTAGACACGTCCTATATGTATCATTTCTTTTTGGTAATAGTCATCAAACAACATGATAGGCTTGGTAGTCCAGTGGTAGGATTCCTGTTTTGGGTTCAATCTGAAAAACAGGAGGTCCCGAGTTCAAACCTCGGTCAAGCCCTTCTTTCTTTTTGTTTTTTTTATATGGGGATTTGGATGGATGTTGGGAGAGTGAGGGGTGGTTGGCGGGTGGGGGGTAGGAGGGCAGTGATGGGCGTTTACTTTTACCTTCACGTCTTACTTTTTTGTGGCTTTTAGTGTTGGCATCACACGGCAGACTACCTACCTATTTACTTAAGAAGGTAGATATACGTAGGTAAGAGTTGCAAAGAGCGTCAAGAATATAACTTACCAGGAGTTCAGTCTTGTACAATGATTGATTACACGTCTATGACTTCGCTTTTCGGCTTGTAAGAGCCTGACCCGTATGCTCTTTTGACGGCGGCTGATGCGCGATGCTGATCCAAGTCTATCGTCAAGCAGAAACTACCCTTCGACGTGCTTGCTGTTTTGGTAGTGGTACAAAGGAAAATAAATAGCACATGTGTAGGCATTGCCAGCCTGATTCCCCTGTTCCATTTTTGCCTCCCAACCACCTGTTACCCGCCCACCCGTTACTCCCAATGCATCATTCACTTCATTTCATCCTCCCCTTCTCCCTCTTTTCTTGCAAGTACCTTATAGATCTGGAGGGACCGGCGGTCAAAACGCCTTTCAGGCTTTGAACGGTGGAGGGCCACTTGACCGTTTGGTTGATTGCCTTGGTGACCATCTGCGGAATGTCCTTCTCCGCCGCGATGCGCTTGTCGAGTACACCAGCGACTTGCTTTTTGAGTATGACCTTTGCGTCTTCGTCCTTGCTCGACTCCAGCATCGACTGGTATTCTCGGCCCGAGATGCCGAACTTGCCTCGGTATTGGAAATACACCTTCTCGCGGAACTTCTTGGGTAGCCTTCTAACCATGTTGGCGCGTCGTTCAGGATCCATGTCTTGCGATAGCTTGAGATCAAGATCGGTGTTCTCCATCCAGTTCGGTTTCGCGATCGCTGAATCATCGGCATAGAGTATGTTTGGCAGCGACTTAATGAGGTCGTGGTAAAGAATTCTGAAGTTCTTGATCTGATGCGTAACGATGTTGTCGATCTTCTTGGGGTTCTCACTGCCATACTGCATGCGGGGATCGCCCTGATAGCTCAAGCCAGTTATTGTAGAATACAGTTCCCGTTCTGTGAAAGTTGGCGGCAGAAGAAGGAGTGCGCATCGCACGGCGGATAGAAGGTTGCGCTGATTTGCGACACGAATATTGGGCTCCTCGAAAAGAATCTTGACAGGTTTGTGTAGACGGCCGGCAAAGTACAACGTGTCCCAATCAGTCAGGTCGCGGAGGAGAGTGTCGAAGTTGACCACCGCGTACTTGATCAAGGTGCCATTGACTGTAATGTATGGATTGAAGTAGGCGCCCGCACCGTACTTGTCTTGTACATGAGAGACGACCCCTGAGCCCAGTGATCCGAGGAATGAATAGTGATCGCGGTGCTCGCGCAAGTTGAGCGAGTGGAAATGCTGAGAAAACCTCGGCGTCAAGATGAAGTCAATCATCTTTCCACCACCTTTCTGCCACTTCAGTATAGCCTCGGGAGGGTTCGGATGGGGCGACTGCGTTGCGCGCGAGGCACTCTCCGCCGATTGCGGAAAGACACCGGAGCCATATGCGAATGCATAGGTGATGGGAGGGAACTTCCGGAGTATGCCCCTCAGAGATCGTTTAAACTCCTCATTCGTTTCCATCAACTGATTCTTTCCGAAGTTCTTGTGCGGCAGCTGCGTGAAATCCGACAGCGAGGGCGCTTCATCCTCCCACTCCGGGGGCAGCGATTGGAATTCGTTGGTCGCATCGTTCGGCTGGGTCTCCTGCGATGAGATGAAACGGCGATTGGTATTTAGCAGTGGCCTCCTACACCACGCTATCCGAGAGACTGGGCGAGTTCGATGCATTGCGTGCAGACATGATGCTTGAAGCTGCGCAAAGTGAGCTGCGGGAGCTGACATAAGCGTTGCTTTCGTAACCAGTCTTGGCGGGCTCAGTGTTTACTTGACCCCAACAATCGCTGCTTCCTCCCCACCATCTTCACCAAGCACCACCCACACCACCATCAGCACCAAAAGCTCTCAACGCTGCGGCGCTTCTGAATTCTAAGTCTCTCGACTGAATTCTGCAAATCTCATCACAATTGCAATAGCCGCAAGGCTTTTCTGCACAAAAAAACTCACCATGGACGCGTCCCTTGCGTCTTTCCACACGCGTCTTGCCACGTTCGAGGCAGTCGCGACCACGAAGACTCGCCGCACCAGCAACCGGTCAAAGAAGGCAGCACCCAAGTCCAAAGCAAAGGAGTCATGGCCTCTTTCCTCACCTAGCGCACAAGATCTGGCTTTCGCAGGCTTCGTCTGGAAACCCACAACTGCCAGCCCCGACAATGTCCAATGCTTCCACTGCACCTGCCAGCTGGATGGTTGGGAAGAATCTGATGTGCCCGCATTCGAGCATCTTACTCATTCACCAAACTGCGGCTTCGCGATTGTCACCTGCATCCGTTTGCGTGCAGGAGATCCAGGCAGGACTGAAGAGGATCCTACTGGCGAGAACATGGTAGCTGCTAGACGCGAGACATTTGGAGATATGTGGCCTCTCGACAGCGCTGCTGGCTTCCCCTCAGTCGATCAGATGGTGTCCGCTGGATGGTACTACGACCCAGCAGAAGACACCCCAGATGGCGTCACTTGCCCTTACTGCTCTCTATCTCTCGATGCCTGGGATGCCGGCGATGACCCGTTGGAGGAGCACCGTCGTCGCTCCCAGGATTGTCTCTTTTTCGCGCTCTCAGAACTCTACCATCCCGCGCCTGCTCCCAAGAAAGGCAAGCGCACCTCAACGAAGCCCAAAGCCAAGAAAGCTTCAACTCGCTCCTCATCAGTTTCCGCCACCACCTCCAAGAAGAAGGCTCCTCGCTCATCATCAGCTTCCACCGCCGCCACTTCCAAAAAGGCTACACGTGGTAAAAAACGCACCAGCGACAGTCTCGATGAGTTCAGCGAAGTTGTTCTGCCTACTTCAAAGGCTACGCGTGGTAAAAAGCGCACCAGCGACAGTCTTGATGAGTTCAGCGAAGTTGCTTTGCCTGCTTCAAAACGAATTCGTCCATCAAACCCTTCCAGCCTTGCTGATGGCCACCTCACTGGCACTCTTAAGAAGACGCCTTCCGAGTTGAACACGTTCAGCGAAGTTATTGTGCCTGCTCAAACGCGACGACTTCGTTCATCAAGCCTCTCCAGTCTTCCACCTGGTCTTCCCACTGGCACTCCTAAGAAGACGCCTTCTGAGCAAAAGACCGTTGACTATTCAAGCTTCGACATGTCCAGCCTTCCGCCTGGTCTCCCTGTTGGTACTCCTAAGAAGACACCTTCAGGTCTTAAGGAGACTGTCGTGTCTAGCTTCGAGATGTCTAGCCTTCCCCTCGGTCTTCCTGTTGGTACTCCTAAGCAGACTCCTTCCAGGTATAGAGAGGTGGAGGATGCGATGGACATTGAGAACTGGCAACCCACCGACGTTAAGGCATTCTTCGCTGAGAAGGACGACGTGGCTTTTTTCGTAAACAACGTCCTGGTTGATGTGGCCTTGGATGACGTCCCTACTTTTCGCGCCAACCCAATGAGACTTTACGACGATGTTGTGGGCGCCCTTACTGATATGGAGAAGAAGATGACTGTTGAACAATGGGTCCTCTACAACGCCCAACGAGGCGAGGAGAAACTTCGCGCGGAATGCGAGCAGCAGATTTTGGCATTCGAAGCTGAAGGACGACGTGCATTGGACAAGCTGCAAAGCATTCCTACGCATTGAGTATGTCAGCAACCGACAAAATTGGAGTTAACTGGAGTCGATATTTGGGAGGATCATTCGTTTTGATACCCGGCTAAAAAATGGCCACTAGGGATTGTTGGATATGGAGTTTATGGGTTTTGTTTGATCTTTTCTGTGGCTACACCCTATCACTTGTCTCATCAAGGCTTGAGGTGAATCGCATGAGTTGTAGCCGCCTGCAAAGGCTGGCTCCCTTGCGATGATCCAACATAGCCGGGTGAGGTGAAGTGTTGGGAAGGTCATTTGTTTGTTTGGCGTTTGGGTATACATTGCGAGTGTTTCTTTACTGTGGTTTTGAGAAGTGTATGAATGATGATTGATCCATAAATTGAGTTCATTGCCGTGAAGCTGTGACGAGTCTGTGGGAAGTGTGCCTGTTGATTGGAGGTACCAATATTACATGCTGCAAGAAGTCGTGCCACTTCACCATGAGTGAGACTGAAACCTCATTGCTTAAAGCAAACTAATTCTTCACCTTCGCCCTTGCTTTTGTGCTATTTGATCACGGTCGCAGGGAAGTGACACGCTCGAGACGATGAGAACGCGTGCTCACGTGATATGGCGTTGCAAGGTGTTCATTCCAACTATCCAAGTACACAAATCTATTCCACAAAACCCCGTATTCTCTGCAAATTTTCCAGGAAACCTCCCGATCTCTGCTGCTGAGGCTGTACCTGCGGCTTCGGCACGCTCCCACTCCTCCCCGGCCTCTGGCCCCTCTCCCGAGTCCTCTCCTTCTCGCGCTCAACCTCCCTCTGCTTATCCTCGGCGAGCCTAACCAAGCCCTCAACAAACTTGGTCCGCGCCTTCTCCTCCGCCGTGCCCTTCCATACTTGGGCCAAGTCGCGCAACGCTTGTATACGTGTCTCTGCTTTTCCGACGCCTTCGTCTGGGTCGCCTGTGATGAGGTCTGCGATCTCGGAACGCAGCGAAGCAGCGAACTCCTTGCCCTTTTGTTCTCGGGACGCGTTGTCGGAACCGGGTTCGGGGGCGGATACGCTGATGAGGGAGGCGCCGAGGGAGACTTCGGAGGGCGGGAGCGTCCAGTGCATGGCTTCGCCGAAGACTTTGATGACGTTGTCGAGGCGGGAGCGGACGGTTGTGAGGGTGCGGAGGTCGGATATGTACTCTGGGGTTGTTTCGTCGTCAATGTCTAGCGCTGCTTGTGGGGATTGTTTGGGCTCTTGGGCATCGTCTG